ATGCTTCAGCAGGCAAGGCCAGACCTGGAGGATCTGTGCTGTGCTTTATGGTTATGAAACATAAGAAATAAAAGCATCTTAAGTATCTAATGTTTTCCAAGTAGATCAATGTACTGTTGCATTCCATGATATTTGATAAATGTTCTTGCCAAATCACAGACTGTTCCCAGTCTTCCCACATTATTGTCTTTGCTTCTTAAAAGTCTTACCTATTTTATATTCAAGCTTTGGTTTTTGTTCTTTCTCTCATAACCCAAGAAACCCTACTATTTTTATAATCAATAACACGTCCAGTGTTACTCTTCCAATTTCTGTAATTTTTGCTCTTGACAATACTTCAATAGATAGGCAATCCAGACAACTGATCTTTATCTGAAAAAAAATTCCTCATACTTTAAGCTTTTCTAGCATTGTTGGCACTTTCTGTTGTTTTGCATCGTGGATGTGTCAATGTTCCAGGGCCTGATATAGATAGTCCCTTGATGGTTCCATCAATCTTTTGACATCTTGCTATATTTTTTCTGTTCTTCTAAGTTGGTGTAAATTCAACTCTGATTTTTATCAGACATTAGTTATAATAGATAGAACTTAATCTACACACTGAACTTGACAATCCCACTTTGTTAGAGATTCCCTAGGAAGCCTCTCATTTAATGCCATATTGCTGTTATGCTACCTAACACATCTCATTTTCTTTCTTTTCTCCATCCCATCTGCACTGCTCTGAGAAGAAAATGTCACCTTTTTTTATTACTGAATGAACGAACAAACATAAGGACCCATGATCTACAGTTCTACTCCTCCCCCATCATGTCATCAATTATTTTCCTTCTGTTTCCATCCTTCACCTTACACTGGTTAGCATGGGGCTCTGCTCCTCATCTTTCTTCCATTCTTTCTATAAGTTTTTTTTTAAGAGTTTTGTGCCCCATACAACACGTTTTGATCATATTCGCCATCCTTTACCACTCTTTCCAAGTCTACCTTTTTCCCTCCCCACATAACTTTATGTCCATTTATAAACCTTCACTACAAAGTCGCACCATCCAAATATTCCTGGATATGTGGTCCCCCCCAAAATATGTTTGACTTACCAGGGGTACCCCCTTAGAAGAAAAAAAACTACTTCTCCCTTTCCCACCAGTTAACAATTGCCATTTGCTCCATGGCTAAGGGTTGGATTGTGTTCACAACTCTCCATGCTGGTATTTGGTTTGGCTTGGGCTTTCACAGATTTTGTGCAGGCTGTTAAATTGCTGAGTTTACAAGCGTAGCTGCCTTGCTATGTCCAAAAGTGTTTCCTTTACTCATCCATCACCTCTTTCTATCCCCTCTTCTGATATGTTACCTGAGCATTAGAAGAAGAAGATGTGGAGTATCTATGTGCTTTAGGGCTGAGAATTGTGTGGCCTCTTATTCTCTATTCTTTCCATGTTGGCCTTGGGTGTCTCTGTGTTAATATCATCTACTGCAAGCAGAAGTTTCTCAGATAAGTACTAAGAGATTCACTGCTATATCGGTATAATAATATGTCATTAAGAGTAAGTTTAATACTATCCCCATTTAGCAGTATAGTAGTATCAGGCTCTCCCTTAAGGCTTATAACCTTTCTAATCATAGGTTCTTGGTCCAATATTTGTGCCATGTGTGGGTTTTATTTTGTGGAGTGTGACGTAAATCCAATTAGAAAATGGTTGGTTACTCCAAAAAAAATCTCCTGCCACTATTGCATCAGTGGTCATATTTTGCCAAACCTTATTCACTGTTGTAGCTAACAGGGATTACAGCAGGGTATGAGTAATGATTATTTCTCTATTCTGGTAGCTGCTATAGCACCTTCCAACACTATTAAAAACATCTCATATGGATGAAGCTTCCAGATCTGTACCAGCATTATTTTACCATGAGCTCATGACAAGTAGGTGGTATCTTCAACAATAAGGTCTTACTGTCACATTCTGAAGGGTAACCAAGAGCAATTGCAATAGCCTGAAATGTTCTCTTTTTTTCGGGTGGGGGTGGTCTATAGGAGCTTCTTGATCAACAACTCCAAAAGAAGTAACCCATTCCTGGAAGTAGGCTTTTTAAATGTTAGCTTCTGGTGTTAGCTTCAGGTGTTGTAGGCTTCCATGTGTCATTTTTAAAAAGATCTTAGTGTTATTTATCCCTCACCATACTCCCTCCTTCATCCTACTCCCTGCTCTGAGTATTCCTAAGTATCCTTATTGCATTACTTCATTTTTTACCTTTTATATCAGTGATCTCTGTTGGCAGATTTGTCTTTCCCACTTGCTAGTTCCCATATAACCAACATGGAGACTTAATTGTAAATGCTTGGCCGATAGCTCAGGCTTGTTACTAGCTAACTCTTACGTTTTAAATTAACCCATATTTCTTATCTAGCCTCTGCCACATGGCTTATGACTGGTTACCTCATTTTTTTTTACATGTTCTGCTTCCTTTGCATCTGCTGGCATCTCCTCTCACTCTACCCTCCTTTTCCCCAGTGTCCTTTGTTTGGTTGTCCTGCCTATACTTCATGCCTGGCTACCAACCAGTAAACTTTTTATTAAATAAATCCAAGTGACAAATCTTCACAGCATACAAAAGATTATTCCACAGCAAATCTCTAACTCTTCTACCTTGAAAGTCCCTCCCATGGACCCTTAGTAACTCCTTGACCTCTGTGGGTATTCCAAATCAAGCAAACATATCTGAAGATTCAATACAGAATCCTCAAATGAGAGAAAATATGGCATGCTTGTTTTCCTGGGTCTGGGTTACCTCACTCAGAAAGATTGCTTACAGATCCATCCACTTACCTACAAATTTCATAATCCATTTTTAAACTTGAATAATATCCCACTCTATAAATATATTACATTCTCATTACCCATTCATCAGTTAATGGACATCAAGATTGTTTTCATTTCCTGGCTATTATGCATAGAGAAATAATGAATATGGAAGAACAGGTATCTCTATAGTAGAATATGGAGTTCTTTGTGTATATACCCAATAGTAGTATAGCTAGATAATTTGATAGATATCATTTTTTCCAACTTTTTATTTGAATTAGAAACAAGATTGTTTTGCATGACAATCCCAGTTCCTTTCTCCTACCTGTCCTCTCCTACCACCCCCAACTAAAACCTTATCTGTCACATATCTTTTCTGCTCTCCCTGGATGGTGAGGCCTTCCATAGGGTGTCATTAGAGTCTTTTGTATCCATTGGGATAGGGCCTAGGCCCACACCCATGTGTCTTGGCTCAG